GTTAATCCGTTAATGCCATCGGAACTTTGGAACAACGTCAAAACAAACAAACTAAGAAGGAACAAACTATTTTGTTGAACAACTATATCAACCTAATCATGTCTCACACAAGCACGACAGTGTAACTTTTATTCTTACCATTACCATGCTTGGTCTTGTAACTATCGCCTTTTAGTAGTAACTTGTAACAAAAATAACCATCAAACTTGACCCTGTTTAAGTGCACACTCGGAAGAGAGTGGAAGGTTCATTGTTATGTTTTGGTTAACAACACTTAATCATGTTAAATGGCACAGTTAAAAAGGTTTAGGAGGAGTGACCCACAAGACAAAAACATGCATGTGAGGTCTCCTTGAATTCTACTTTTTACAGCTTATACCCTCCTTTATTTGTTTGTTTTGTTTTGTAGTAAAAAAAATTGGGGCCAAAGATAAGGGCCTACTTAGATAAAATTTTGTGGGGTAACTAAGCATGATGGGATTTGGGTAGGCTCCCTTAACCTAGGATGATATAATTTTTCATTATTTGGAATCATTTTTTTTTCATCTTAATATACTTTTTAGAGAGGCTCCCATATGAAGACAACGACCGACCAACCCTTGCTTATTGTCTCAGTTGGACGTAGGTTCAATTTGTTTGTCATTAAAAAAGTGATTTATTTTTAAATTTATTACTTAATTAAAAAAAACATAATTATCTTCTATTACTTTAGTTTAAAGTTATTTTTTATATATATAATATCACTTTCAGTCCAAACGTACTTATTTATATTCTCACTTTTCAATTGAAATTTCATTTACAAAAAATATAGTTATATTATATCTCTTAATCCAAGGTTAAAATATATCCTCCAAATGAATCGATATTTGTGAGTCATGTTATACTTATATTGTTTTTATCCCTTGCTAGTATGAGGTTGGTTAATAAGAAAAACTAGACAAACATAACCATAATCATAATTATGTTTCCTATGTAACACAAACCGTACATGCTAATTCAATAAATAATATCTCCTTGTCTTTTCTTAAGCTGGGGCTGGATTCAACCAGAAAATGATGCATCAAAGCGAACTCAAATTATTATTATTATAATTTAATACGAGTAAAAGCAATTTGGTTGACTCAATAATACCTGTAACTATTTTGAGATACTAAATTAATACAAGTTTTTTTGTCATATTGAACCGACACAATAAAATAATATTATTTGGATGAAGTTAGCCATCTTAGATGTTGTTGTGATCCAGGTTGTGAGGTAAATATTATTTCAACTATATTTCTCATTTTTTTAAGAAGTAAGGAAATAAATGTTTGTCTCATGTACACAAATTAAACATTTGTTAAATTTTATAAATTGAATTGTATTTGAGTTTAGGATTTCAATTTCAATATTTTGATATATTATTTTAATAGAATTATTTCTTTTTAATTTAAGAGTGAATTAAAATATTATATTATAATATTAAATGATAAAATTAACTAATACATTGACTGTTGTTTCGTCTGCAATAAAAGTATTATAGTTTTATATTTAATATAATAATATGTCAAATTTTTATATTTAAAAATTATTTTTTATGGGTTTTAATTTGTCACAATTTTATTTTTAAGAAATATCTTAACATATCGTAATATAGTCTCGTAAGTTCTAAAAATAGTATAAGACATATTTTAATAATAAATTATGACAGATTAAATATTACTTTGAACATATAAATTAATATAAAGACAAAACATTTTAATTTTTTAAAAAAATTATTAAATTTAATAACTGAATATTTTAAAATAAAAAATAATTTTATATTTTTCTATACTATTAATCTATAGTCTTATTTATTAATATCTTATTTATTAAATATAATAATATTACATTTTGAGTTGTATATTGTATAATAACATGAAAGTGTAGGTAGATAGAATAAATTGATATTAAGATTGGGGTTGAGATTACATTTAATATTCATCTAATTGAGTGAAAATCACTAATACTCTACCATAGCACGTAAGATAATGCTAAATTCAGAGAGATTTTATTTGAATTGTACATGAGATATGAAATTTTAGTTAAATAACTAGTTCTCTAATTTATTTTCATGATTAATGATTATGATTTATATTTGAAGGAAATTTTAATTTTAGGTTTAAACCTTGAAATTTAATATATATTTATATGGTGATATTGAATATGGAAGACTTATAATTATTTGAATTTATTATTATTTGAATTTATATTTAGAGATTACATTTTTCATGACAAAAGTTGGATTAGATACAACATGAATTTGTATGTTTGAAGTTAGAGTCTTAAAGAATATTTATAGAATACACGTGATTGATGATTATGTAAAAAAAGGAAAAGGAAAAACAAAAAAACACATTTTTAGAATTTTTAATTAAAATATTTATCTTATAAAGAAACCTTTGACAAATAATAAAAAATGTAGCAAATAATTTAACTTATTTTAAAGTTTATTATATCTGAATTATATTTTTCAAATTGATTATTTGTTATTATCGTGGTGACTTTTATAATTGTTAGTAACATCATTAAGTTTGCCATAATAGGAACTTAAATGCCCATTTTAAGGATACATGTCAATGTGATAAAAATATAATATATTTTATTGTTCATAGCTCTGTTATTCATCATCGTACCAGAATCTTTTGTTTACAATGATTTTGTTTTTCTTTTGCACCAATCAAACTTTCTTTATCCATCGGTAGTAGAAGTGTTTGTCTTCAATTGTTTTTAAAAATATAAATTTGTTTTTGTGAAAAAATTGTCTATAATTTTATTATTCTGAACTAGTTATAATTTTGAGCCTTTTTACTAAGGTGGTTTGGGTTAATAGGGTTTTAGAAATTATAATTAAAACTAACATATTGTCTTTTTTACAATTTATTTTCATATTATTTTAAGTAAGATAATTCCTGGTTCGATTTTTTCATTAAGTAATTATTTAAATCAAATTTTAAAAAAATATAATATTTGATTTTTATTTAATATAAAATTTAAATTGAACCAAATGTTTCTGATGGGTTTTATGATTTGTTGTTACTGTTGAATTGTTAAATAGTTTTTTAAATAATTTTAAAAATATTTCTAACAAAAATTGTTAAACATTTTATTAAAAATCTATAAATATAGTTATAATAATTTTAATATTTTTAAATGTATAAATAAATTACATATTTTTATAATTAAATATTATAATTTAAATTTATTAAAAAATGTATTATAAATAAAATACAATCGAATTTCAAACTTGATCATAAAAAATATAATTAATTAATAATTAATTTTAAACCTATAATATTATATCTAAAAAAAATACATTTTAATTTAACTTGATTCGATTCTTAAATTTAAATCTAAACTAGATTTTGGAAAAAATGATAACAAAATGGTATAAAAACTTAAATTTAAATTTTCGATTTTTTGGATGCATTTGTGATTGTTTTATATTGGTTGGATTTTAAACAACTCATTTTCAATAATTGATTGAATTCATTATATAACTTTTATAAATAATTATATATTTTCTTTAGTTTTAATATAGAAAAATAAATATCTTAAACAATCTAAATAATATAAATCATCTTAAAAACTATTTTTAGTCAAAAATAGAGAAGAATTGAGAAAATTAAAATTAATTTACGCTAAAAATAAACAAACATGTTATTTTATTAAATTTATTAATTTATTAACTAACCGTTATTGTTTTTGGTGTATTAATTGAAAGAAGTAAATGACTTAAAAAAATGTCTAGTAATATTTTTTTGGAAAAAAAATCCTTTTCATATATTTAAAAATACCATTAAATGTATGCACAAATATCTTATAAATTTCTCTTTAGACTATATATAGAAAAGTAATCATCATAGTTGTGTATAAAATAAATAATCATAATAGGGACCACTCTTAACAAATTTTAGTAAATTTTGATTTTGACTTGTCTAATTCAAATTATTTTTTTATTAATTTTTATTTTAATTATGCAATCTTTAAATATAAGATTTTTTTTTTACACCAAAACAAAATATGGAGACAGAAAAAGAGAATATGTAGTTACCATATCTAAAAAAAAATGTCCAACAGTCAATTTATTTAGAGAACCTAAAACCATTTACCACATTCAGACACTGACTCACACTGACACCATGTCAATTATTAAAATTTAATAAATATAACACAATTTTCTCTCTCTTCCACAAATTTTTCAAGCATCGATCTTTCTCACTGGGTAATAATGATAATATCTGAATTCTCTCACACTCAGAATTAAAATTTAAGAGCACAAAAAACCAATTGATAGTTATGACCACTACTGCTTATTTATGGTGATTCATTGGTATCTGATTTGGATGCAAATTGAAGGAGAGAGAGAGAGAGAGGAAAAGTGGTAGTAGGAATACAGAACCATCAATGACAATCTCTTTGCTTTTAACTTTTTCTTGCTACTTATTACGCCTCACACACACACAGTTTTCTTTCTTCTCTGCCCATCCATTTGCGTGGCACGCTTTCTCTCTCACTCTCCCAAACACACGAAAACACATGACACAACCCTCATTTTCATTTAATAGATATTTATTTTTCTATTGTTTAAAAAACAGTTTATTATCACTATTATTATTTATGGCAATATATTTTCCTTCTCAAAACTCCGTACTCTGACAACGACCACTGAAGGATGGTGGCACATGCCTGCAGTCACATCAGGTCCTAACCAACGGCTATGATTCATATGTACGGATCATCCAACGGTTCCGATTCTCTTTGTCGAACATCTTCTCTCTCCTCTCACTTTCTCTCTCCTCTGCACCCATGTCCAGCTTGGTCGGGACCCCCTTATATATGGCAAAGGCCCTTCCTTTACGCTCTCTCTCTCTCTCTCTCTCTCTCTATACTCACTGTGCGTTTCAAACCCAAAAATCCTCACTCGGGTCTCAATCCGAAAGCGATAGGCCACAAAAGAGGGCCTTTACTTCCTCACACACTCACTTGTTGTGGCTCCTTCCTTCTTCATTTTTTGATATTTCTTGTTCATTTTTGCTTTCTTCTTGTTCAGTTTCGTTCATGGCGATCTCGGAGAACGTGCCAGGCTCGGTTTTGTTGCGTGGTTCCAATGGATTTGCTTGATGTGTTCCTTTTCTGGATTTTTTTCTTCTTCTTTGCTTTGGTTGGTGGGGGTTTTGGACTTTGTGAGCATGTGGAGCTTCATGGATTCCTTTGAAGGGGTTCTGGGGTGTGTTTGATTTTTGGGAAGTTGGTTTTTTGTGGACATGGAGTGCATTGGCAAGTGGGAGCGGAACATGGGGGAGTGCAATAATGATAGTTGTAATAATAATGGTTTTGGGGAAATTGAGGAGGGAGGCTCTGAGCTAGGGTTCCATGTGTGTCTGTGATTGCTGAATATTGTGTCTTGAAAAGGAGGAAAGAAGGGAAAGCTTGATATGAAGCTTTCAACATCAGGGTTGGGTCAGCAGGGAAATGAAGGTATCCATTCACTCAATTTTCTCCCTTTTCACTTTTGTTTTTGGCACCCTATTCTGAGCTCTTGGTTAGGTGGATTTCAATGTAATTAATTAGTATTAGTATATTAATATATAGTATGTGTCCCTTTCATAAAAAACCCTTTTGTGTTTGTTTCAACCTCGCCTTGTGAGTTGAGTGTTCTTTCTTCTTTTTTTTTTGGTTTCTTTTGATTTTGAATTTTTTTTCGGAGATAATTTGATGTGTGGAATGATGGTAGGAGGGGAGAAGAAGTGTTTGAATTCTGAGCTATGGCATGCATGTGCGGGTCCCTTGGTGTCCCTACCAACTGCAGGGACTCGTGTGGTCTATTTCCCTCAAGGTCATAGCGAGCAGGTGCTTTTTTACTCTAGTCCCTACTCTACTCCTGATTGTTTCAATTTTTTGTACTTTACTGGTTATGAGGACGCATAAACTCTCTTCCAATTTTGAGATTGGAATCAATTCAATCTAGTTTTAGTTGATTTTGTTGAATAGAGATTGGACTGAACACGTGCTAAACAATGGTTTTAGGTTGCTGCCACAACTAACAGAGAAGTGGATGGTCACATACCCAATTACCCGAGTTTGCCACCCCAGTTGATTTGCCAACTTCACAATGTTACAATGCATGTGGGTATTATACCTTCCGTGTTGCTTGCTATGATAGTTGAGTTACTTCTACCTCCCACTAGAGTAGACTCAGTCAACTAGAGGGTGTCTTGATTTTCAGGCAGATGTTGAAACAGATGAAGTGTATGCTCAAATGACGCTGCAGCCATTGACTCCGGTATCTTTTTGCTCTTTCGAAGCTTTGTTGTATTGTGATAGGATTATTCTTTTATATGGAGTTGAAAAAACGAGTCTTCAATCGTATGTGTAGCAAGAGCAGAAGGATACGTTTCTTCCCATGGAGTTGGGCATTCCAAGTAAGCAGCCTTCAAATTATTTTTGCAAGACGTTAACGGCAAGTGACACCAGCACTCATGGAGGGTTCTCTGTTCCTCGTCGTGCAGCTGAGAAAGTTTTCCCTCCACTGGTAGTGTTCATATTTTCCCTTTATGTTTCAATTCTGGTTAGATGTAGATATATTTCTCTTCTTTTTCTGCTGTACAGGATTTCTCACAGCAACCACCTGCGCAAGAACTAATTGCTAGGGATCTCCATGATGTTGAGTGGAAGTTCCGACATATTTTTCGGGGTACGGATTTATTTCTTTGTTGTTTGCGTTCTTATTATCTTCCATTTGATGGGGTGAGTCAACTAAGTTGACGAGGGTTATAATAATCTGTTCTATCGATTGTAATGATCTGCTATTTTATACTTCCACCATATGTGGACCCTACCATGGCACTTTGCATTACCAAAAACACTCTCATTGTACAGAAAATGAAACCTTTGCTGTATTGTAAAGTAGTAGTTAATGGGAATGAAATGTATTTATCGCATCACTGTATTAGGTTAACTAAATCTTGTTGTATGATAGTTCTTTGCCCCGTCTCCTTATGTTTCCTCTTAATTGCTCCCACTGTATAATATCATTTGTCACTCTAGAAGTTTGTCTCCAAACATTTGTCATTCTAGAAAATCAAGAAAGCATTAATTAGTTTTATTCTCTGCTATCCTTATTTTTTCTTGTATCTCACCTGAATACTTAATCAACAACTCTTCTTGCATTGCTCTCTAGGAAAATACAGCTCCAAACCAATATCTGTGTATTTTTTAACGGATTGAAAGGTTCTGGTTCTTTTGTCTAAGAGGTTGAAATGTTACTTTCAAAGTGGACCATTTGGAAAGAAGGATGAAAATTTAGGTAGTTCACTACCCTGAAAAATTTGATCCAACTTCTGAATAGTTTTTTCCCCTGAAATGCTAGGAGGATTAGTAGATAAATATTCTCAGTATTTTAAGCCTTAAATAACCTTTTTACATACTTGTAGGAGTCCTTAATAAGACTGGTTTAGTATTTTGGTCATATTTTGACACACTTATGAACTGTATTCAACTAGAGATTCAGTGGAAAATTATTTGTTTTCTTCTGTTTGGGACTTTACCTTGATCCCTCCATAAGAAACCCTGTTTACGGAAAAACTGATGCAGCAATTCATTTATTGTCTAGAGAATGCTCTCATGTGAGAAGATCTCACTGTAAATTTGAAGAATTGGGGTGAATTAGATATATACACAGGCCCCTTTAAATCGTGAAAGACATATTATATGTGTAAAAGGTCATTCACTAACTTTTTTATTGAAGTGTAAAACAGTTAGCAAATGAGATATAAACACAAAGTCATAAATGATGCTACTAATGTGTCATGACTATATTACATGAAGGAAATTTTTAATAGGATTTTCCTGTTACTAAATGTTAAAAGTATTGAGTATTAGTATTTTTTTCAACTTATCATAGACTATTGGGTTCTATAAATATAATGCTTGTGGCTAGTTGTAAAATAGCCAAAAAAAAAAAAAGGTAAGATGAAGGGTCAATTAAGTAGTTGAGAAGACCAAGGTATTCTAATCGAGATTCAAATCATTAGTCACCAAGTTAATTTTTGTTTTAAGATTCACAGACAATAAAAAAATGGCTTAAATTTGTCTTTAGTCCCTGTAAAATTAGTGTGTTTTGTTTTTTATCCCTATAGATTCTATTCTTTTGTTTTCTTCCCTATAAAATTTGAAATCACTCTTTTTCGTATTTATAGAATGTGAGTTTTGGTTTTAGTCCCTATGAAGTATTTTTCTTTTATTTTCATTTGTGGAAAATTTAAAATAGTTGTTTTTAGTCTAATATTAATTTTCAAGATAGATGAATAAAGAGTTTTTTTAAGACTACATTTATGGACGTTATATTACAACACTAGAATTGGTCCCTTGGAATGGTCATTAGTTACTTGTTCAACACATTAGTTAATTTGTGTCACAATACTAAGGATTAAAAGAGGTGATTTTCAATTTTTGATGGACCAAAAATAAAGAAATTATTTTTACAAAGAGAAAAATCAAAAGTCACTTATTTTATTGGGATTAAAAACATATTTAAGTCTAGTAAAAAAATTAAGTCAAATGACTTTGTATCTTAATGATAATACATGTAAAGACAATATAGTGTTCAATGTAATAATTGTAAATTAGAAATAGATAAACAACTTAACCATAAATGTTATAAAACAAAATTATTAGTTACATTTGATACCATGAAGCCTTTATTTTAAAAGAATGGGATGAACCAATAAAACAGCTAAATAGAGCACATGTATTGAATGAGTGGGAGACAGGGGAATCATTGTATAGGATAATTTAACAATTGCTGCTTCAATTCCTTTTCATTTAACAATTTTAACTTTTAAGCCTCATTAAATCTTGTGATTCTTATTGATGATACAAAATTGCACAAATTCATTCATGTATTGAAAAATAGAAAATCATTTGACATTCATCTTCTGATGTGAATTACAGACAGATTAATGGTATCAATTGTAGGAATTACATTGTGAAATAACTATGGTAAAGACATTTGTAAGATTAAAGATATAGTGATATATGAAATTAATAGTGTTGGGTTGGTTGAGTTAAGTGTGTTGAAATAATATCTAAGTTGGTCTGGTAACATGGTAAGGGGAGTTAAAAAGACAGCAAAAGAGAGGCTAAGAATATGAATACTTAAGTTTTCCTGATGTGGCTTAAAGGTAAGATGGAGGAAGCTGATGTGGCAGTTTCATAACCATGGTAGTTCCACATCTCAAGCTTTAGCTTTTGTTCCTGTGAGACACACCATTCATCAATTATATATATAGAAACAGGTGCTTTCTTGCCATCTATGAAACCTTTGGTGTACTGCTGACCAAAATTGCTTTGACCATCTCTGACATCAGTCAAGGAAGTTAAAATGTCCATCCATTGCTATGATTTCTGCACATTGCATCAATGCTGATGACACTTAAGCTCATTTTTGTGAGATTGATCAAGATTGATTAGCTTGATTGTGAAATCAGTAGGATCTGACAATGTTACCATGCTGTCTGAGTGATCCATTTCTGAAACATAACACCCATACAGCCCTCTCAAAGTATACAGAACCAAATCCTAGGACGGCTTCACCGGATCATTCCAGACCTTGTGCCTAAAACTCAGATGTGATGGTGGACTTTAGGTGCTTGATTTTGAGATTTGGTTTGATCTGTTGGTGCTTCTGGTTGAGCGTCTTGATGGTCAATTTGTTGATGCATCTATGCTAGTTTGTACTTGACAAAGACAGTATTTAGTTTCTCAACTGAAATGCAGACAGCTTGGCAGTGGTGCAGGTGATGATTTCCCAATGTCTCTTGGCTGGACAGCATAAGGGTGTGTGTAGCTGTGTCTCTGGTTGGCTTTCTGTTGATCATTTGAGTGGTGTACAATGTCTTTTCTGATGTTGGAGGATTTTATGTTTGTGTAGTATAGCGGTCATTCAATGGATGGGCTGTTTCATGTTGTCAAAAACTTATTTTTTGTATTATGAAGTGTCACCTTACTTGAGTTGTGACTTGTAACGTATGCATCTCAATTGAAATTTAGACAATATTAATGTGATTTTTTAAGTGGTCATGTGACAACGTCCCTTTACCAATCCCCTAGTTAGTTTTTTCTTTTTTACTGCCTTGATCTCTGTCATACCAGCTAAATATTTTAAAATTTAGAGCGAGACCTTTACTAGAATCTCAAGGCAACTAATTAAAGCACCTTATTGATCACCAGTGTCTGGTTCATCCTAATTGGCTTGAAGATCTGCCAGATCTCCTTATTGTACATGCATGAAATATATAGAGCTTACCCACTTGTTAGAAATTTCCTTCTACACTTTTCATGAATTTTGTAATTATATATGGTAAATGCATTAGCTTTTAAATTTATGCAATATCAAGATATCAACTTGCACACAATTAGCATAATCATAAAATCCTCACCATCTCCAATAGTAGTTATTGTTGATGGTATCAAATATCATTTCAACTGTCACGAATAAATGGTGCAGTGGTCTGATCTCTTATGTAAAACTCCCTTGAGGAATATGAATAACACCCAAACTTAAGTGATCTGAGCATGTCTAAGTAATTACAGTCGCTTGTAAGAAAATATAAAGAAAATATAATTGAAGAAAATATGAAGAACTTCTGTATCATTTGAATCTGTATTATATCCCATAGGAAATATACTGGATCTTTTAGGGAAGTCAGTCTTTCAGTTATAAATAACGGATTGCTTCAAATCATTACTGAATAAAAACTTTGTCCATTATATTAAATGTGCTAATGTTAAGTTTCCATCTTTGCCCGTTGGCTAACGTTAATTACTTTGGCTAATAATCCTTGAATTTTGAATGCGAGGCCAAAAAACTGATTTTGTTTGGTGACATCTGCATTTGCAGAATGTCCTACAAGCTTATAGTTCTACACAAGTAGAACTACTTAGCAAACATTTGCTATGACAAACACATCTAAGTATGCTGACGAATCTGTATATTACATTACAATTAGTTCAATTTCATAGAATTTAGTGTAATTTGTGAAGCTAGCTGTATTATAGACATGGCAAGCTAGTTCATTACCTTCTGATAATGAACATCAACTTGTTCAAAGGAAGTTTCAAAATTG